CTTCAGTTGTGAAATTCAAGAGTTGAACAGTTGAACACTCACACCAAAGAACGTGTCCCAGGCCACTTTTGCGACTTTGCGAGACTGTGTGCGATGAAAGTTCCAGAAGAAAAGAACTCAGTTCTCTGGAAGTGAAGTGGAATTGAGAACTGCCAGGACCTAAATTGCGAAGTCTTTGAGAAACAAAAGGCAGGTTGCCATTCATGGATAGGAAGCTGAAACCCACAGATTGGGAAGCCCAGCCCTCCAGTCACCACTGGCGCCTGCTCCACCGAGCCAGTCACCACCTGCGCCGCCGGGCCGCCCACGTCGCCCGTGAAGCGCAGCGCCGCATTGGCAGCGCCGAAGCCTCGGGCCGCGAAGCGATAAGGACTTCTCGGAGCCAACGAAGCAACACAACATGGAGCGATGTAATGTAGTGGCCCTGAATTTGGGAGTTGGACTTTAGTCCAGTTGGGGGCAACATGGCCCGTTACAAAAGCTGAGAGTTGTGCTGCAGCTACTAGCGGTCAATTGGCACGGTGGATCAAGGGACAAGTCTTCTTGTGGCTCCGAGTCACCCATCTGCGTCGCCGTCTTCGCGATGCCAAAACCCCAGCTGACACCTTGTTGCCCCACCGTCACCGCGTCCAGGGCTACTCCTGCGCGACCAGAAACCAAAATAGAAAACAAAGAGCAACGGAACTGCGGTTGCTTGGAATAAGCAAATAACAATAAAACTTTACTATTGCAATTATCGTGTTCAGGTATACAGTATGTTTACGATATTTTACAATAACTCTGTGTAGTTGCAATGGTGAAGGGTATTTGGACTGTCCGTTATATAATATATAAAAAATTGAGCACACATTCAAGTTCAAATTTAAAAAACCAAGAACAGGTGCAAAAACATTCAAGTCAATGGCCTGTCAGCGGATTAGGAGTTGCACAGAACGAATGAGCCATGAAACTGGTCAGTCAGTACCAAAGGTGATGCTGAACAAGTACCAAGGCCATGGTCTCAACCCCGCCCAGAATCCCTCCTAGGCCAGATGCTGAACGCGCAGGTGCAGCTTGCACGTCTTCCATGGCTGCGTCCGCTGGCATCTTCACTAGTTGCAGCGATGATCAGCACGGCCAGTCCAAAACTGGATGTGGCGTAGCACAGAAGTTCCTACAAGACTAGCTACTAAGGTTCACACCATCTTGTAATGATGCACGAGTTTCACTGAGATTGCCTGTTCTCAGATTTCTGCAAGTGTTTCGACTCCCTTCTCTCTTCCTGCTCTTTAGCGTGTGATTCTTATCCTCTGGATTCGCTGCCAAACAGCTCTGGGAGCTGCGGTGCGAGAGCGATCTGCCCTTTTGGCCTGCAAGGCGCCTTCATGTGCCTTGTGATGGTGAAGCCACGACGAAACAAGCATCCTGACCACCAAAGAAAAAGAAAAGTGATCATCTTCACTTCACGCGCGATTTTACTGGAAATCGTGTTCATGTCTATCTATCTGTCTATCTATCTAGCTAGCTATCTATCTATCTATCTGTCTATCTATCTATCTACAGTAGCTATCTATCTATCTATCTATCTATCTATCTACAGTAGCTATCTATCTATCTATCTATCTATCTATCTACAGTAGCTATCTATCTATCTATCTATCTATCTATTGATGTGTCTGTCTACCTGGCTATCTATCTATCTCTCTGTCTATCTATCCATCCATCTATCTATCTATCTATCTACCGATCTGTCTAGCGATCTATCTACCTGTCTATCTGTCTGTCTGTCTGCCTACCTATCTATATACCTATCTGTCTACCAACTTATAGGGGTTAGCAGACTTGGCATTTGATTTTTGGGAGCCTTTAGGGAAGCTTTGGCAATCCCTTTTGGCAACCGCCAGCCCGCGTCAGCGGCTGCGATATCCTGGCGCTGCAGCCCGTCGAGCCTTGACAGCAAGGGCAGATGTGGTTTTGAGGTCAGAGATCGGGTTTTAGCCCTGGAGTGGCTGTGGTTTGGACTTAGTGATCCTACCCGACGACGCGAGTGTGGCTTTGTGGCTTTTGAAAGCTTCTCTGTCTGTCCAAGCAGGGATGGAACCCAAGAATAGGTCATCCAGTCACAGCATGAGCAGAAGCTTCACCTAAGCTCTCATCAGACCGCTATATGTGACTTGTTACATCTTATTACACGTGCTGCGCCACCCCTTTCCATTCACCAGCATCGCTCCACGATGAAGCTGAGGAACCACTGCGGCGCGCACTCCCCATTCCATCAACAAAAGGCAGGGTGAGAAGTCAAACATTGGGAGAAAGAAGTCGGGCTAAGATTTCGTGTCATACTGTGGCTTTCCCTTCAAGAGAATCCTCACGTTCAAGAGAAGCACTTGAGAAGTAGGCTTCCAGAAGTTCTAGCATCATAAAGGTCCACGCATCCCAAATAAACCCACACCCAATTACCAAGCCCCATGCCCATCCCCACACAATTGAGGGTCCCCGCATTCGGGGTGTTCTCTTGCCCTGCAATGACCCTGCAATCCTGCTGACTAGGCATGGTGATGAGCTGGGACTTCAACATACCAGTGAAGACCCCCGTTTGCGCAGCATGATCATCATAAAGTCACAAAGATATGCATGTACTGCGTCTGAAGTCCAGCGTCCATACCTTTTGAGCAACGAGAAGTCTCACCAGGCGCAAGGTCTGTGGAAATTACCATTGCCTAAGCTAGCGCCAACACTACACCAAGCATGTCCAACATTTGGGTCTATGAAGAAACACCGCCCGCGCGACTTACTTCTTGAACCCCTGACTGGACTTTGTCCAGGCTCACAAGCTAGAGTCCAAGCATGGTTGGGCGCAGGTACCATGCTATATATATATATATACCACTTACCCTTCTGAAAAATCAAACGTTCAAAGCCAAAAAACACAAATTTTACAGGACAGAGGCAACAAGCTGACAACCACATCTAGATTCACGCAACTGCTTCATGGTTGGTGCCACTGGCTTGCTGTCCGTATCTGCAGCAAGCTCCAAGGAGAACAAGTGATGCTCTCAATGGAGATGGCTCCCAACCAATCCTCCACCACTGGCTCCACCACGCAGCTATAGCAGGGACGGTGAGCTCCCATGAAACAGCTGACCATTGCGCACCCTCCTGGAACGCAATCTGCGATCACACACACAACTTCAGCCAAAAAACACAACCAAAGAAGCAAAGACTAAGAGCTTCTTTCCAGCAAAGCCATGCGTCAACCACTTCACGCAGCAGACAATAGGTAGCATCTGGGCCTGTCAGCGCCTACGTCGGCACTGGACCTCACAACATTGTTGGAACCCATTCTCCTTCCCTCAGTGAAGGCACAACTCTTTTTGTGGGTGACACATCATTGAGGAAAGTTACAAGACACCTTGCCCGTCATTCCTGCGTGGCCTGCTCCAAACCGTTCTCATTGCACTGGAAACATTTACCAGTGCAATGAAGTTGCGCCACATGTGGGTCACTCTCCACTGAAGGGGTCTCCGCCAAATTGATTAAAATTTGCGGCTTGTTCTGGGCAGTGGTAAGGAGCAAGATTGCGGTAGGAGAAGTTCAAGAACGCATCCACATGGCAGGATTTGGGGCTGCCCCTGCGGCCATTGAACTTCCTCTTGTGCGGCTGCCTTGAGAACGCATCAGGCGGTCCACCTGAAATGCCAGGGTCTATTCCCCAAGTCTAAATGGACCAAAGTCTGTACAAATGAGTCTTGACATGTTGTTTAAGGGTAGGAAGTTCAGGCTAGGGAAAATAAGAGAGCTGTTTTTGTTCCCAATTGACATGTTTTGGCGCCCATCGCCTTCTCAAGATTTCCAAAAAGTGTTGGTTCACCTCTTTCTGGTCAATGCCAGTCACGCACTGCTGCACATGCTCCCATGGGGGAAAGTAAGCTAAAGGATCATAACACAAAGTTCAACTGCTGTGCGGGCCCCATTCCCCATCAAACAAACAACACCAATGCAACAGCATATTGACCTCAAGGCTTCCAGGCGGTCCATACGAGTGTTGCTCTTCTTGAACGCTGCCGCGCAATGCTTTTTGCAGGAAGATTTTTCTGGGGAGGCTCGGGCTTCTCTCCAGATAGCCTGGAACAATGAGAGAATGAAAAGGAACCAGTGGTTCTCGCATTAAGAAGACCAGGAAGTTCCTGTGCGCCCATGCAAGATGAATGGCAAAATATGGGAAAACACAAGTGGTTCAAGTTGATCATCAAGTCACAGCTCCCCCAAGCTCGTAGGCTTCCTTGCTGGTGTGGACTGCATGCACGGTTCGACCTCTAAACTCATGTCATCAGCCGGAGAGAGAGAGAGAGAGAGATGATGGGTGGACCAAGTTCGATCAAAGTGGAAAGGGCTGCCACCTTTCGATCCAAGCGGGATAGGGGCAAATGAGTGCTCATGTCTCCTCAAACCACGTTCTCATGGTTTTTAGCGTGCAAGGGCTGGGTGACTGGTCCACTAATCTCTGGGCTAGATTCCAGGAATCTCTACATAGATACAATGACATCACACACTGCCAGTTGAGAAGCTTCTGAGAAACTCACTGCCTGGATACCCCCACTTTGCACTTTAGATCATTTTACTTGCACAAATCCCATGCCCAGTTCTCCTCCACCGGCAGGCTGCAGCGCCAGCCCCGTAATCCGGCAGCCAGCAGCAACCAGCAAACACTGAGCACACCCCCCCACCACCACCACCAACCAAAATTGGTTGGGAAGAACAGCATGGCAACAGTAGGACTCACTCTAATCCCAAGACCCCTCAAATCCATCGCCAACTACCCCTAATCAATTGCAATTCCTTCTATCTATCTATCTATCTATCTAGTCTGTTCTATTCTTTTCTATTCTATTCTATTCTATTATTCTATTCTATTATTCTATTCTATTCTATTCTATGCTTCTATTCTATTCTTGTGAGCTTCTTGGCTCGGTGGATGTCTGCATGCCCAGTTCTCATTTGGACGAGCTGAGCTGCCCTGCGTGCACCCAGCGCCACGACTCCCCCAGCCGCCCAGGTAGACATCTGGGCGAAGAGAACTCAGGAGGGAATCACTGAAGGACCATGAATATTGGATGGCAGGACAAAGTGCCAAAGTATGACATGCCTCGTATGATTAGATAGACTGGATGATGCGAAATCGAGTCAAATCCAGTACATAATTGATCGTAATTGTAAGTTTGAGCTGCCCTGGTTTTTGCCCCGAAAAACATGATGGTGTCATGAGCGAGGCAGGTTCGGAAAAGCGCCCACGCACACAGTGGTGAATTGAATCGGCATAAAGAAAAGCAGGCCACTCCCTGCGTTACTTGAACTTGGATGCACTTTCGGGTAAACCCAAACATGGAGCGTCGTTTCACGTGATCAAGCCAACATAGCCGCTGCATGTTGGTGAGAACCAATGATGGATGGATTGATCTACCAGTGAGGTTGGTTTGACATGGGCCCACGAAACAGGGGTTGATCAAATCTGTTAACCTGGCAAGTCGGAATCACAGGCCATTCCACCTGATCCATCTTGGCTGATACAGAACTGTTTACGTGTCTGGCTGGAGAAAGTATCCCCTGTGAAATTACCCGTGAATGCCGGGCATGCCATTTTATAGTTGCAAATGGCTAAACCAACCTCTTCAGGGGCGTTCCTGCGCTATAGAATGAAATGCTCAACCATTGAAGTGCTCAGGATCTGTTCTTTATAAAATAGCTCAGCTCGACCTGTTGGACGCTCAAACAGTGTCCCTCATACATAAAAGTGTGTTTCCAAAAAATTGGAATTTATAAAGAACAACCAAGGTTGAAGGTAATTCTATAGACAAGTGGGGACAATGTCGAGGTTGGATTGATTGTAGAATGAAGATGATTGGATGGCAAATGCACAAGAGGTTGATCAACTACTTTATAGAGACATGCTTGGAGACTGCAAGGTTGAAAATGACTTTAGAAGAAGGTTGGACAGCAAATGCGAACATATACAGAGAGAGAAAGAGAGAGAGAGAGAGATGATTGGAGTCTAAAATGCTCAACATTCACCAGTACAATCACAACCATGACCCATATAAAATCACAGTACAGTTGCATTTGTTCTCTGTAAAATGGTTCAGTTCAACCTATTGACATAATGAATCATCTTTTTCAATGGACAAATTTTTATCTTAGCCTTTTTTAGGTCGAAATCTCATTCTACAGAAAGAGTATATATATATACTGTATATTACTGTATCTATAAAATGTGCCCTCGCGTTTAGCTCGACCTCACTCATTTTGTAGAGGGTATTGGGTAGGGGATGAGAAACCTGTCTGCCCAGTCTAGCAGGATCTTTGCCAATACCCTCCAATACCCACATGAGCGGCTCACAGAAGGCAAAAGAAGACTTCCGGGATCAAGAAAGGAAACAAGTATATATCTTATGTCAAGCGGGGTGGGAAACGCCTGCCATGGAGCCCAGACAAGTCGGTCAGTCCCTGTCCCTGGGTCAGCCCGACAAAGTCTCCTAACGAGGGATCAAACGTGTGCGCCGAGGCCACCAAAATCACTGAGGTCTCGTGGACCCCGTACCTCCACAGGGGCCAATGGCATGCCGCATCGCATGGGGAATGATGGGAATGCAATGCCCCCTCTGTTACAAGAATTGACTCCCCAAGAAGTCTGTCCTGGTTGATCCTCTTTTGGGTCTTTGTTTCGGGGGGAACGGGACGCCTTCGATTTGAGCAGCTTCTGGCCACGCCTCGAGCCTGCTTTGTCCGAACAGTACTATTCACAGGAGACCCTTGCTGCACGTTGTAGTATAAACTTGCCCAGCAGCAGGCGTTTTAAGGAAGGCTTGGCTTGCATTGCATGTCGGTGAAGAGAATTAACTACTCTGTCGGTCAGTCGGCGGGGTGGTAAGAAAACAAGAATCGGTTCAGAACCGCAGCTGCCCTGGATCTCACCTAATTAATTAGCCAAATTCAGCCACACTTGAAAATACCTAAGGTTAGCCACACTGCAAGCAATCAAATTCTCGTCCAAGGCTAGGGCTGCATTTGCAAGGGTGGTCTTGGGCTTGGAGCTCTGTTACTAGTTGGTGCCAGAGTTAGCTTCATTGACGAAAGGCCGCTCGCATCCGATGTCGAAGGCAAAGAATGCATTCACCGAGCAAAGCATTATGTACAGACCCACTCCAAGAAAAACATCGCCTGATACCTAAAGCAAGTTCAAGCGGCATGACAAGACATGGCGGGTGAAAGCTTGGAGCAAAAGGGCCACGGAAACCTCGAGGAAGAACACATCAACAAGATAAACACAAAGAAACATGACCAATGACCACCACCAAAAAAAAAACAGCTGCTCGGATGAACATTTGCACTCTGCAAACCAGGTCGGAAAAACACGGAAAGCGGAGCAGCAACATTTTATTGCTGCAGGGTAGTCGGACCTAATTTGTTCACGGTTTTTACGGTGTTTTACGCACACTACGCAGAAGACCACCTGCCCAAGTCGAACGGCAGAGAAACCATACACTTGTCGGACCTAGTCTGTCCGGTTTTACGATGTTATACGCACATGACGCAAAAAGACTACCTGCCCAAGTCAAACAGCAGAGAAAAAACAGCCAAGTGGACGAACATCGCTGCAAAAAAGTAAAATAGCAGCAGCAAAGTGCACAGCAAAGCCTTCAACATAGATCCCACAGCCCCAATCACTTCCAACATACCTCCACAAGAAGCCTCTAGAGAGCCCCAACATTGGGCGAAACGTGCCAACATGGAGAAGGATATGCCCTAAGAATGCACCAAGGTCGCCGAAGATTGGCGCAAACATGCCCCAAATTTGACTGCCCATTGGAGCAAGCTTTCGTAAGCAACAAAAACGACAAAAAAACTGTCAAAGCCACCTTTCTTACACTTGTCGGACCTCATGTTTCACGGATTTATGGTGTTTTACGCACAGTACGCAAAAGACCACCTGCCAAGTCAAACGGGGCAGAGAAAAAGCAGCCAAGTGGACCAACATGGCCGCAAAACAAGTAACATAACAGCAGCAAAGCCTTCAACATAGCCCTGATCCAGCCCCCACGGCCCCAATCACTTCCAACATACCTCCACGAGAAGCCTCAAGAGAGCCCCAACATTGGGTGAAATGTGCCAATATGGAAAAGGGTATGTCCCAAGAATGCACCAAGATCGCCGAAGATTGGCACAAACATGCCTCAAATTTGACCATCCACTGGAGCAAGCTTGCATAAGCAACAATAACGACCAAAAATTGTCAAACCCACCTTTCTTACACTTGCCGGACCTCATTTTTCATGGTCTATAATTTTATATATAGTGCTTGACACACACTACGCAAAAGACCACCTGCCCAAGTCAAATGGCAGAGATAAAGCAGCCAAGCGGACCAACATGGCTGCAAAACAAGTAACAGAACAGCAGCAAAGCCTTCAACATAGCCCTGATCTAGACCCCACACCCCCAATCACTTCCAACATACCTCCACGAGAAGCCTCAAGAGAGCCCCAGCATTGGGCGAAACAAGTAACATAACAGCAACAAAGCCTTCAACATAGCCCTGATCTAGACCCCACGGCCCCAATCAC